GTCATTACACCCTTGATTTGTGAAAAAGTAATTTTCAACTTCTTTTAAATTAGTTTCTTCGGAAATTTGATTAATTTTCACCTATATAGGCAATAAATATCTAAATTATAATGTGGTTATTAAGCAATAATAATTGATGCAACATCCAAACATTCTTACTGCATTCGGTTCTTGCTCAGTTGAATTGGATTCTTCAGCTTCAATATCAACATAATCCAATTTTTGGGAAGCATAAAGAATCTTGATTAAATTATAACAAATCTTAAGTCAGTATAGATTTGTATATATTTGTATAGATATACATAAATTCAAGACATCAACCTGTCTTTCTAATTCTTTATTTTCAAATTGAAGTTTTTCAATAAGCTTGTCCTTATCATTAAGCAAAGAAACACAAATGCCTAATTTATTCTCCAACTTTTCGACTTCATTTTCTAATTCTTGTATCTCAGTTTGCAACTTTCAATGAAAGATACAGTGATATAAGATTATACGCATTCAGTAGATGTTATCGATTATTAGCGACGTTACCAAAACTATTTGGTACATTTAAACCACGTGATATTATTGTCAAATAGAAATGGTTTCTGTACTAATTATCACATGATTTGAAATGGTCCAAATAATGTTACCTTATCAACTAGATTACTAGAGAACTGGTAATAAATGGCTCCTTATAATAATTGTAGATTTGATTCAGATAAAATATTTAAAACAATTATTAACTATTATAATCAAATAAGATTGTATACCGCTTTGTACAGTAGAATGTGTATCCCGACGAATAATTTCCATTTGCCTTTCTAGAGACTCCGTTAAAATTTGCTGCAGAACAATTATGTAATCTTTATGAATACAAAATATATTAAATTTAATTACGGTAATGTGAACTTGAATATTTGCCTGATCCATGTATTTCTTTCCCATATTTGACATATGAACAGCTAGCTCATCTGAGACTTGTTCCCGAATTTCGAGCTTTAGATTACCACAGCGCGTCTCGGCACTAATCCACTATAAAATGCGAACAACGATTAACTTACAACTACGTCGACTATGTACAGCATGAACAAGGTATGGTACAAATCAAATACTTTTTCACGAAGGTCTTCTATTTGTGCAAAAAGCATGTTGATTAATAGATCATAATTATCTTCTGACTTTGAATCGCTGCTATCACATGTTTTATTTTCTAGGGTCCAATAAATATAAGCGTTAAAATGAATAAATATCAAGCTTATCGACTCCTGTCATTGTCTTCTTACCTTTTCCAAATTTCTTATCTGGTGTAAAAAGCAATGTGCCTCTATATCCATAATGACTTGAAATATTCTTCAATGAGGTACAAACATCTTTTGCCACTGCGGAAAATTTCATAACTTGCATATTCTCATCAAAGCCTGTATCGACTGGATTAATATTAACAATCATAACCTAAGGATAAATTAAAGTGTTAAAGATGTATAATTTAACGGATCTCGAAAGATGTGTCCTTATCACATACAGATTCACCATCAGCAAATGAACTCTGAAATAATTCCGTCAATTTACTATGACGGTAAGGGACCAAAATATGCTTTAAATAAGTAAAATAAATAATGAGTTATATTGAACATATAAATATAATAAGTAACGATTTATCATAAAAAACTAACCTTTTGACCCTTTGGTCGCGCCTGATTCGCTCTTAGTATTTCAAGACACTGTCCTAAAACCATTAACGATCGATTTATGTTTCCAGCCTCTTTCAGTCTTGTACCTAATTCAAAAATGGTCAATAAGTTTTTAATATTAAAACTTTCTTATAATGTCTTACCTGTTGTTTGCGCATTTTTTGTCCGTTCTGAACCCGCAAGGTCAACTATCGATAACCGACTCGTTACGACAAGGGACGACGACAACTTTACAAAATTAATTTTTGTAATTCACCTTCCCGTAATAAATTATTGTGTACGTAACTTTAGTTGAATTTACCTCTGTGGCAGTAGTATCTTTATCATGTGGTATCTTAATTATCTTTATCATGAATATGCAGTGGCTTCTACTGGAAGTTTCATTAGCCAGGGTTGAAAATATTTGTCGATTTTTCATGCCTTGCTGAAGTACAGCATATCCATCCTAAAGATTGTAAAATAATTAACATATACAGTAAAAATTACGTCAAATAATAAGCACATAAATCGAGGAGGGACTGTTAATGTTACACATATTTTAAAACCGGTGAGGGATTATATTTATCACATAGACTATAGAATTGAGTTCAACATAAATAATTCTATTTTAAATTGATCACGCCGCGTGTGGGATTAGTTGTGTAACATTAACGGTTCCACCTCGAGCACATAAACTTACTTCTACATTACGTATTCGAACTTCTTTAATGTCGCTAAGATACTTATTTCCCGTCCGCTTATCATTTTTTACCATCAATGCCTTTCGTTTGCCGTCTGACTGTTTAGCGCTTCCAGGGTCTTCCAGAAGATCATATATTTTTTCGTTATAAATCTCTACGTACGAAACCCATACTGCATACCTAAATTGTTTATCAACATCTACAGCTGCGAAATATTTGAATATGCATTATTATGTCAAACAGACATTTATTTCGAAGTTGATATTTACCTATGTTGTCAAGCTTGTGCGTTAAATCAAAAGCATTCGCGTATTCTATATCGGCACCTTTATTCTTATTTTGTGATGAGTCCTATTATTTAACAATTGGTATTTAGGCCATGTTTACGAAAGAATTCCCCTTTAGCAATACTAACTGAATCCGATAAAATAAATGGATTCTCCATATGCGACTTTGATATAATAATTGGAGGAACACTGGATTCGTTTCCGTTGTAACTTTCTACTTCATTGTATCTAACTGGTTTGAGCTAAATAAAAAGAAGAAAACAACAAAATAAGACCAATAAATAATGGAGAGATAATGGAGTATACAACTTAATGGTAGTGCATCATAATTACCTGCGCCTCACTTTCTAAATTTTTGATACTATTAAAAATTGTATCTAATGTTCGAGGTAATATGCCTTCTTCGTTGCGAGTACCTTGAATTGAATATGTTTTGCCGCTATTTGTTACACCATAAGCGAATACTAATCCATTGATTCCATTCAATACACCTTTTACCAACGGGAGCGTCGTTTCCAAAAAAAAACGTTTCTGTGACGTCCTTTCATCAAAAACTTTTGTAAACATGTATTTTTCCGGTCCCTTGTTGCATGTTTTAAAGGCGTGAGAGTCCTGGTTGTTTTAAGATTGATTTATAGACTTTTTGTATTCATATATATGTATCGATTGTTTTAAAATCATCCAAAACCTAACCTTTGGAGGAATCATTACAACCTCCGTATCGTTTACAATTTGAATGTATGGTTTTATTATATCGTCCGAACTTATAGGTCTAATTCGTAGATAAGCCTTATAAATTTGCCATAAATGTTAGTAATTACAAATTAATCAAATTTCCGAAGAAACTAATTTAAAAGAAGTTGAAAATTACTTTTTCACAAATCAAGGGTGTAATGAC